AAAAAAAGACATGTCCAATTTTGTCAGAATACGAAAATTGAAAGATGGTTTATAACTTCGGCAGGCAATTACAATCATTCTTTATTGGGCATGTGAACTTTTGTCCTACTGACATAAAATGTCCTGACTGAAATTGGTTGAGCAAGTCAGAACTTGATACAATAACACTCCCTAAGCATATGCAACAAGATGACTGGTCATCTATTCAAGTGCCTCTGTGATACAGTGATTTGTGGACTTAAACAGGTACGGCTATTGAATGTCCTTGTTTGCCAGAGATTGCCTATTATTATGCCATTTAGCTGGCATTAAATCTGTTAGCACTGACATAACCTCTAGTGCCTTGCAGGCAGCAATAGCCATTTCGAAGAGCATCAGACTGTAAAGAACACAGCGTAACCCTTCTCTATTGTCAAGAGGAAATTTTTGTGGTCAGCCATTTTGATTTGATTCCCGCAATGAAGACGTGAATAAAAATATATCAATTGAAGTCATTTGTTGGAATATTTTACTGACCCATATTTTTTTTAAAGTAAGGTTTTGCTGATGGGCTTTATTTAATTCATTCTTTGATAGGTGTTCCTGAAGACACACTTATGATGTCGTAGAAATTGTACAGTAGATCCTGCTTTTAGCAGAGATTATTTATGACTATGGAGAGAGTTTGGTTGCTGTATTTAGTACCCTTTAACATATTTATTCATCTTATCTGAATGAAGTTTGAACCATTTTGATGTTAATAAGAATTCTGTGATTCTTATCATGCAATGTTCACTTGGATTGCAACCTTACCACATTAAAATCACCACATATGTAGTGGAAGTCACAGTGGCTGACTTTGTATGCTGGCGATTAGGTGCCTGACTCTGAGGGTATGGGTTTGAATCCCGCATGGGACTCAACCCAACAAAAGTACTAGAATCTGTACTTTACTAAGAAAGTGTAATCCCAAATATAACATATGTTACACCACATATGTAGTTGGATAAAGTGGAAGAGCAACAAAATATCTTTGATTTGGCTGAAAGAATACAAGGAATTTGTGACTTATTCATACAAAATCACAACCCTTGACAGTGAAGCAGAGCGGAGCCAGTGCTTGCCGGGTCATCCAAAGAAACTGGAAGTTTGAATGGACAAGATCATGAATAGGAGAGTGTTTGGTCTTTATATGGAGCAATGGGGGTTCATTAACTAACATTGAAGAGTTCAGTCCGTGAGTGCCTAAGATGGCCAATGAACACATGGTACGGTTGAAGTAACACATAATGAATACGTAAATATTTTGGTGAATAAATGGCTTCTTACTATTTTGGCATCTGGTTAAGAATGCTGTTGATATGGTTGTATGATAAGTGTCTGCAAGTTAGACATAGTGACTTTGTTAAGTATGTGCTATTGAGTCTGTTCTTGTCAACCACAAACTCAGGTATTTGATTTTAAAATGATTTCTTTATCAGAGCCCGAATTCAATGGGTTTAACCCTCTTTATATATCCCTCTTTATAGGCGCTTTTAGGACTCTTGCATGAAGTATCAGTGCATCACAGACACATGCAAGGGCAAGTCACTCATGTGAGTGAGTGAGTGAGTATGGTTTTGCGCCGCTTTTAGCAATATTCCAGCAATATCACTCAGGGGGACACCAGAAATGGGCTTCACACATCGCACCCATATGGGGAATCGAACCCAGATCTTTGGCATGACCAGCAAACGCTTTAACTACAAGGCTACCCCACTGCCCCCACTCATAAGAAACACTGAACCCTATTGGCTATGCTTCGTTTCATGTTTTTTACAAAAATGATTCGACTTTTCAAAATTATTCAACATTAAAGAAAACATTAAGGACATCAAAAGTTATCAGATAAAAATTATATATAATTAAAAGCAAGTTGTAAATTATGTTCAACAGATCAATGTGCATTATCCGTATGGAAGTCATATCCATGAAAAATCAAAAATCAAAGTCTTATCCAGATGGTTTAACATGTTAACTCTAAGGAGTATTGCATGCACCATTCTTAATTCTATCTTGTCAATACAAAGGCTGAATAATTGTTTACTGAGCTGCAACAGGTATGAATGTGTTTTGAGGCTGGCAGTCAGTCAGTTGTGGTTCAATCACTTAAATTGTTCAAGATGTAATTTTAGTACAATTTTCTGGATTATTGCTCTGTGAACATAGTGTTCAAACAAGGGGGGATTGTTAGTCTCACAAAGTCACATATTGTCAAACCAAGTCACACAGTGCATGTTGCATACAACTTAAGCAATCAAACCACATTTAAGGGTGCAGTTTGAATTTGTCCTATTGACGAAGCATTCCATTTCGAGTTAGTTTGTATTAGAATTATGCTCTTAGTTCAAGCTTGCCATTTAAAGGATCCTTTTATTTGAGTTATCTAATTGTTAATGCTCTGCCCTACTCTGAATTGTTGTATAGTGAAAACATCACACCTTCATCGGATGTAGAGTCTGATGTGTTGCAGATGTAGAGTTTGGTCAGTTTCTTGATGGAACTTAAACTTGATCATCAAACACTGTTGTCACATTATGAACATTTAAATAACCTGGTTTTGACCCATCCTCATTCATCCAGGGTGATATATTTGCATTTTGTCACAATAATGCCCTTGACCAGTCACCGCTTGGTATGAAGTCATGAGCATAGATTTATTCTTGCTCATTACCAAACTTAACATCAACAGCCAATAAAAATACCTCTTCTCAAAAAGATTTCAGGATCGATCTACGTTCTGCTTTTTTTTGTATACTGTTCAAAAGAAGTTAAGGAATATCTGTCGTGGAATGTATAGTGTATCTGCCATTGTATGAATAATGTTGATGTCGCCCAATACATTTGCTGATTAATATATTGCTTCTACTAACTTTCAATTTACACATTAAGGTACTTGTTTACATTTGCCACAGTCTTTTCTCTTTGAATGTGTTTCTAATTGGGGCGGTGGGGTAGCCTAGTGGTTAAAGCGTTGGCTCGTCACGACGAAGACCTGGGTTTGAATCCCCACATGGGTACAATGTGTGAAGCCCATTTCTGGTGTTCCCCGCCGTGATGCTGCTGGAATATTCCTAAAGCGGCGTAAAACCAAACTCAGTCAGTCAGTGTTTCTAATTCATGTTGACAAGAACCTCTGAAATGCTAAGGATGAATTGCTTTTGTATTTCAATTAAAATTCTTTTTATTCTGCTGCTTCTTTAGATAAGGATAGAAGTAATGCAAAACTCTCGAAGCTGCTGTGTAGGTTTTTAAAAAAAGTTGTTAATAATCTGTTTAGGATTGGGTAAAGAAAACACTCCTTGCTTAGGTTTAGGATTTTTTGGCAACTTTTCTTGTCACTTTTAGCTCAAGATTTTTTCTTTGCCAAGTTATTTGGAGGCTTATGTGAAGTGTTTTATTTTAATGGCATTCAAAACATTCCAAGACATACAATTGGCTAACTGCAGATGTGCTCGGTTTTATTGCCTCCCTTTCACTTCAGAAAGTTAGTGCAGTAATAACTGATGTTTAAAAGTCAGACTTTTACTTATGGACGGAGTTGTGGTCTTGGTTTTAAAACATTAAGTCTCTCTGCTTGGTTAAACTTGAACTACATCCCAAACAAAAGACATAAACAAAAAAGAATAAATTAAGGGCGTGGATACAGTTTTAAGTGGAATTTCATAAAATGTTGGCAGAGGACATCATGTTACTGTCATATATAATAGAATGCTGGGGCACATCATGTCTCAACGCCTGGATGGAAAAAAACAGTGCTGAGTGTTGAAAGACTGGTTTAGTTATGGGTCAACTTGGGCAATAAAATATTGTAAAGAAACATCTCGGCCTCATCTCTGGAACCCTGTTGTGCTCTAGTTGCCACGGATTGTTGAGCTCAAAACTTGTCAGTCATTAGAGATATCATATCTGAATGAAATATGAGGATGCTCTTGTTGTAAATATTTTTAAAAAGCTTTGAGATTTGATCAAGCTGTTTTGTGTCTGATGACATTAATTAAATATGGTATCGCTCATGTGTAAATTTAGGCAGCATTGATTAATGTTCCCTACGACTGAATTAATTCAAGATTCATTCTTTCCCTGGGCTGCATGAAATTGTGTTTGTCGGCTTATAATAAGGCATTTGTGCTTTCAAAGCGAACTCAGGATGGGGTGGCTTTCCTAGAAGAGATGAAGTGCTATTGTCCGTGGTTAGTGACTTCTGATTGAAAATATTGTCATGCGTGGCAAGTCATGTGTCATGTAGTTGTATGACTGGTTTGACTTTTGGTTAGACTACATATTAATAGGACCTTTTCTGTAGTCAGAAATGTATTTCATAAATGATTTGCAACATGTTTGTAAAAACTATCAGAAAGACATGTTTAAGAGTACAGATATGTGAGCACCCAGTAATCTAGGCTAATACATACTGAGTGAGTGAGTGAGTGAGTGATAGATAGTCAGTGAGAGTGAGTGAGTGAGTGAGGTTTTGAGTGAGTGAGTGAGGTTTTGAGTGAGAGTGATAGTGAGTGAGTGAGAGAGAGAGAGAGTGATAGTCAGTAAGTTAGTGGGAAAGAGAGTGATCGATAGTCAGTGAGAGTGAGTGAGTGAGAGTGATAGTGAGTGAGTGAGAGCGTAATAGTCAGTGAGTGAGTGAGAAAGAGAGTGATAGATAGTCAGTGAGAGTGAGTGAGTGAGTGAGTGAGAGAGTGATAGTCAGTGAGTGAGTGAGAAAGAGAGTGATAGATAGTCAGTTATGTTTAATGCCAAATACAGTCTAAAGAATAAGATAGATTTGTGACAGTGGAGAAGGTCATGTGATGTCATAACATAAACACCAAGGTTTTTTACGATACTATTTACTGTGTCACTTGGAGCCAGTTTGTTATTTTACTTATTTTACTTATTTTGTTTATATTAGATACCTTTATCAATGCATATTCATGTCCACTCTTGATTGTTGGTTTTTCTCTAACCCAATGTTTTCTTTCTTGCAGGTTTGGAAAAATTACGTCTACAAAAGCAATAATAGATCAGAACACAAATAAATGCAAAGGTAAGATTCATGTTCAATTACATTTTAATCATAAATCAACCTGTAATACCTTCCCCATTTTACTTTTGTCCAATAGCAATATGAATTCTTGAAAAGACATTAAAGTTGATAAAATGACTTTTCTATGAATAATTTGTTATGCAAGCCTTAAGTCTTGAGGACAAAGCTGGGTGAATTGTAGTCCTGTACTGAATAATAATGGATGCAAAGTAATTACATCCATATTACAAGTCCCAGTCTTTTATAGTGACTACACAGTCTTATTATTGAAATAATCTATAAATGATTATTTAATTTAGTAGTTATTGCCTTAGAGGCTTGTGCAAGTCTTGTCCAAACGAGACCAATATGTCCCTGGTGCAGCAGTAGGTCTTAGAGGATGATGATCATAATGGCCATCATCCAAATTGTGTTGCAGTTCTGTGGCAGGTGATTTGATTACCCATGATGCCTCTGTGACATTGATTTAGCCCACTGTCTTAATGTGGAAATACTGACAAGGGTTGCGAGAGAAGAATTCTGTTTTAGAAACTGAGCAGGGCTGCATGATAAGTCTTGTCTCTTTTTGTCTTGAAAAGTTTAAATCTCTGAAATTCATCAACATTCCACTCTTGAAAACATGAAAGGCGTAAAATGTTGTTTATCTTTTCGCGATGGACATATCAACAACTGAGGTTTGTGCAAAGTCAGTGATGTCAAAACAGGTGGAAAGTTTTAGACAAAGTTTAGAAAAAATGAAATCCAAACATGTTCCTCATGGTTCTAGGTGGCACTGAAAAACCAGAGACGTCTGTGGAAGTTCTTGTAGACACAGAAATAGTCAGGGAATACTGAAAAACATGAACATCCAATAATCATTGGAGCCAGTTTCAAAGAAAAAACATAAAAAATACCGATAATAAATATCGGGAAAGCTTGTTGTCTCTTTCAACAGGAAAAGCAGATAAGATGAAAAGTTCCCAAATTTTTATTCTAATAATTCTGATTCAGAAGTGTAATAATGTTCACAGTTGCAGTTTTGGTTTTGTAAGTTTTTTCTTTATCTAACTTAGACTGCCAGGGCTTAAACTACTGTTTCCCTAATGAGTAATCTTGTGTTAGCATTCTGCCATTTGAACAGTTGGCCATACGTGTATCGCTTACAGTATTTCATACCTGTGCCCTTGTCGGACCTGGTTTCAAGTGCAACAGCTCAAAAGCAAATTAATAAATAATCCTTGAATAAGGAATGTAATTCTTCTAGAGTAACACACTTGTGTGTATGTAAGAAAATAATTTGTGTCGTTCCATTTCTACACTGCTGGAATTAACTAAATAATGATGTGTTGTGAAAAGGTAGAAAATCTAATTTGAGCAAAGGCTTGAAAAAATAATTGAATTTCGTAGCATTCAGTTATCCATGTGAACAATAGTGTCGCTGTGTTTGCATTACCTGAGTGTGTTTAGTTACCTGGTCTACCTGGACACACCTGTATAAACGATCTACCTGGACGATCAAGTCTCTTAGTAGGCAGGTAGTGGCTTGGTACTGGGCCTCTAATAAACTGGCCAGTTGTCGCTACATGAGGCAAGAAAGGTGTAGCTTAATTTACAGGAGGGGGAGAAATAAACAGTTTGTGTTCAGGGTCATGAAGAGTGCCTGTGATCAAGTAGTTTCAGAATCCAGGTGGACACAGGTACACCTGGCCAAGGTGTGAGGGATTAACGAGATTAAGGTCATGGGGCATTGACCACCTAAAATCTGGGACATTGGAGGGTGCACTGAGAGCCTTAGAACACTCTAGTTTGTTCAATTTTAGAATTAGCAGTTAATTTGATCTTCATAAAACTTTATACTGAAATTTTCTCATTTCCTGTTAATGTTGTTGAAATCGTGATATGATTGTTTGTGAATAGATGCAAAACTAGTTTGGGAAAGCAAGATTCAGTCTCATTCAGTCTCTCCCTTTTGATATCATTACAGTTTTAACCCATGTTTTCAACACATGTAAATAATTACATACCGACGGAAACCCCTAATTAAGAAAATGTTTCGAAAGCCAAGATGGAAGAGGGAGTGATAAGTGGATGATACGACATTGATAGCCTGACTAGACAATATACTGGGGGAAACGCTTACTGAAAGACAAATGGCAGTGTTAATTAACAGAAAAGGAGAAGTGAGAACATGAGTTGGGTTTAATGCCACTGAATTCCAGTTACATGGGAGGCCAGCGTTACGGATGTGGGAGGAAAGTGAGTGAGTGAGTTTAGTTTTACGCCACACTCAGCATTATTCAAGCTATATGGCGGCGGTCTGAAAATAATCGAGTCTGGACCAGACAATCCAGGGATCAACAGCATGAACATCGATCTGCGCAACTGGGATACGATGACATGTAACCCAGTCAGCGAGCCTGACCACCCGATCCTGTTAGTCGCCTCGTACAACAAGCATGGGTTACTGAAGATCAATTCTAACCCGGACCTTCACGGGTCGAAAACAAGAAGTGATACAGATGACATTCACCCTGTTGGTGAAACCCACAAACACTGGTGTGGTGCTGACAAATCTAGGAACATAATCGGGGTGAGTGAGTGAGTGAGTATGGTTTTACGCCGCTTTTAGCAATATTCCAGCAATATCATGATGGTGAACAACAGAAATGGGTATGACACATTGTACCCATGTGGGGAATTGAATTCGGATCTTCCGCATGACGAGCGAACGCTTTAACCACTAGGCTACCCCTCTGGCCCTAATCGGGATGAACCAGAATATAAATCCATAGGCTCCTGACATGTCTAAGGGAGGCAACTCTGCACAGCACCTGAGACTACTGGGCCACCCATGCCCAAGAAAATTATGATGAAAATATTGATGTGAACAAATAGAAAGAAAACAGGGAAAATGAGTTGCTAAGGCAACACATGGATGGACAGACAGATTACAGTGTTATGAGACTTAACATGAATGAAGACATATTAGCATGAGAGAACTGAACATGCAGGTGATCTATGAAGTGCCTCCAGCAATCTTCGAACATGAAGATAGAGTTTATATTGTAACCATGGCAACCACACCAGTAACCCCATCTCAGCTGTCTGTGGTACATAGCATGATGAATCAGCTACTTATATTCCGATCAGGTTCTCCTGTGGACTTCAAGGACCCTTCACACCTTGGGTGCTTTACAAACTCCAAGAACTGCTTCCCTGACTGAGCACAAAGGATTTGTTCCTGTACGAGCGTGTCAGCCTCTGTCGGGGCCTCGATAATACCTGCCGCTGTAGCGTTGACACCTTCCCCAACTACTGTTGGCAGACCCATGTGAACTCGCCACACCTCCCCTGATAGCCTGGCTTCCACAACTGTGGATAAACATGTCAGTTAATTGTCTATTTTTACAGCTGAAAGAATACCTTCCAATTCCCGTTATTTCGGTATTAATTTTTTTTAACTGATGAACATCTTTGTTTCAATTCTAAATCAGTTTTGGTATTGATTTTGGGGGGATCATGCTCTCAAAGTTGCCCTTGAAAATGAAATTAGTTTCTTCAACCTCAGCATATTCCAAGTCATGTTTATAGGTAATCAGAACTTGTAATAAGTCGTATCAATGGTACAGATTTAGACTGTATACTCTCCGCATAGCGTGATGTGTTTCTCCCCTGTGTGGAGAATGGATACAGATAATTTCATTCCCGCCATGTTAGAAGCAGATGATGCATGGAGGATCTAAGACATTTATGGATTAGTCTACTGCATTCAAGGACATTGATGAATAAACTCAGGATAGTATCATGAAATATTTGTGTGATAACATAATCGCATCCTCATTAATAAAACACCAATCTTCATAGCGACATCTCATTGATTGAAAAGGATTCCTCACTTTATGAATAGGCCATCAAAGTATTAACTATTCTGTTTTGACATGTTAAATGAGTTGAAAGGAAATACAGTCGATATTCAAAAGTTTTTGGTGTTTTTTTTTCATCTGGGATGTTAATATTGAGAGAACGCCATTGATTTTTTTACCAGACAAAATTGCAGTAGATTGCAACACTCTTTGTAGTCAAGGCAATAGAGTGATTAAGAAAAACAGAGTTTAGTTTAAGGAGATGATTACAAAAAGCGTCGTCTTGAATCGATTGACATGCTTGATGGTTTACCATCAAGCTTTGGAGCTAAATTTGTGCACCAGTAAATCAGGGTGATTACATCAATGGTAGAGCTGAAGACTCATAAAGATAATAATTTCTATCTGGGGATTATCACCGTAAAATGTTCTACATGTGCTCGATGCAGACGCACCGACGTTATCTTATTCGTCCTGGGCTTGCAGCTGCAATGGCCATCTTGCATATTCCACCCTGATTGCAGAATTCATGTGTCTCATTGAAACTCATCAAAATGCTAATGACTCGGACCCGAAGACGTTTTTCCAGTCAGTTATTCACAAGTTGCAAATAAATCTTGAGTAGTGTGGAGTTTCCGTATCTCGTTGAAAGTTTCTAATTGTGTAAACCATTGGGGATTAGAAAACTGCGACGTCTTGCATGAGGCAATGTCAAGGTCGTGTGAAAAGGCACATTTCCATATCCCAGATTAGGTGTAGTTTAGGAGATTTCAACTTCTTATGGAAAGAATGATGTGAAATTAAGTTAGCAAATTAGCTGATTGAACTGTTAGAGCGTTACTTTTCATTCAGTGTTGTCTCATTAAGAAGGCTGTTAGAGTTTTGTATGGGATTTCAGAACAAAATTTGCATTTTGAATTCAAATAGTTCATTAAAAGTACATGCATTCAAATTGCATAAAAAAGAATAGTTGATCTTATTGACTCACCACCAATTTGTTTCTTTTTATTTATTAGACACATGTTAAAAAACACATATGTGAATATTCTTTTCCGAGACGAATCTTTGTTTTGACATCCTCCATTTTATACATGCGTGGAATTATACTGATTTGTAGACTCCGTTGAATCTTGGGTCATTTGTAAACCAGTAAATTTAAGTTTTAAGAAAGATGAATGTCGTTAAACTGGCTTTTGCTTTTCTATTATAATTTTAGAAACTTTTTGAAGTTGTTGATGTGCTTTGTGTCAGTGTAACCTGATTTGAGCTGACATTTTCTTACGAAAACCCCAAAACATATTACCGTGATGACATTGCTAGCTCGGGATACTTAGGCATTACATATGGAACATGAATTCACTTGGAAACAATAGTGCTTACAACGTTTATGTTAGCTGAAAACAGATACAACTTGTCTGTATTGATCAGAGCCATCAAGCACAAGGTGATCTTTGTGCTATCAGTTTGATATCTGCCATATTTGCTTACTACACAGGCTTGCAGCAGTGCTCGGATCACGTCTTACATGGTTTGCACTTGATCAGGTGTATGTGATTCTGAGTCATGCAAAAACCAGTAATTAAAAAACTTTGCGGCCCTAATGTTACAGAGTTCTTTGCCTTTGTACTAATGCGGCACAAAGCGATAATTATTTGGCTTACAATATCATGGGTTCAGATCTCATGTATTTTAATTATGAGTCTTGGTTGGTCATGAAAATACCTTTGTTGTTTATGTTTTATAACATTTAAGATCTGCATCATTTCTGGCTTTCCATCCATATTTAACTGACACACTGGAAAATAAATGAAATACCCACTCACTCACTCACTCACTCACTCACTCACTCACTCACTCACTCACTCACTCACTCACTCACTCACTCACTCACTCACTCACTCACTCACTCACTCACTCACTCACTCACTCACTCACTCACTCACTCACTCACTCACTCACTCACTCACTCAACTCATTCACTCACCCAACTCACTCACTCACTCGTTATGACTAGCTGGAACTCAGCGTTATACAAATAGATTATAATAGATATAATACATAGTTGTTTTGTCACTTTCAGGGTATGGGTTCGTAGACTTTGAGTCTCCACAAGCGGCTGAGGCTGCGGTCCAGACGCTCCAGAGTCAGGGCATCCAGGCACAAATGGCAAAGGTAGGTCCTTGGACTTCTCCAACCCTCTTGCACCTCAATAACCTCACAATTCAGCTTGCCTAAAATCTCTACTTGACTCGTCAGCTACATGTTGTTACTTTGTGAACATTCACGTTAGAATTCGACTATAACAACCTGACAACAGGATGCTAGTCACTGGATTGTCTGGTCCAGGCTGTTATTTACAGACCACTGTCACATGGCTGGTACATGTGGTGCTAAAAATACAAGAAAATAAAGCTGACTGCTCCTGCTAAAGTTAGTAATGTCATGAATACATGCATGAAATTTAGATTTATTTTGAACCTTTTGTCATTGATTTTATTCTTTTAACACATTTTTACTCTAATTTATAAAGGTCCTTCTTTTTCAACATTTCGGTCACACTGTGTAATTAGGTTTCAGTACCAATTGATTGTACATTAACTTCACATGAAAGTTTAAAAATGCCCACTACTTATGATGGGTCTAGTTGTGAAATTGGTGCTTTGTTATAATTAGTGTCATAATTTGCATGCAGGTGTGCATATTACCTGTTTAGACAGGCAGAGACGGGGTTGTTAATAAATTATTATCAAATAAAAGTATTGAAAAAGCTGAGGAGATCACATGTCAAACACATGAGCACTGGTTACTAGAATAGTATCTCTCCTATTTCAAAACCTTACGGTGACACTTAAACATGCTCTAATGCAAAAGCATTCCACATCAAAGTTTAGAGTCCACTGTAATAGGTAATGCTTTAAACTGTGTGTTTATTGTGACTATCTGTGAACAGACCCTGGTAGAGAAGCTTATAGACTGAGTGTGAATCATACGTACAGGTGATTTAACCACTGAAGACTGCTAATGGTGAATATATCCATGAAACCTGCGACAGTTTGGCCAGGTATTTGCATAATGTTTGACACGTGTGGGTGTGAAATGGTAACCAACAGGTGTGAATGAGTGAAACATGCACATAAAGAGCATCGTTTCACCTGTGGCACACCTTGACATTGCAGTAATTAAGGTGCAGCACCCGTGAGACTTGTTACCCCCAAATTTCAGTCAGCCAGTAATTTGGTCAGAGGTGTAACTATGTGACCAGCAAAATAATGCCCCAGCCAGTTTCAGTTCTTCTTGCCAATGTACAGTTAACGTCTTTAAGTGGCGTTTAGTGAGTGAGTGAGTCACACCGTAGACTCGAGTTCAATTCCCCACATGAGTACAGTGTGTGAAGAGCATTTCTGGTGTTGCTTATGATATTTCTGGAATAAGAGTGGCGTAAAACCATACTCACTCACAAGGGACCTGCTCTAACCTGGAGTGAGTGAGTGAGTTAAGTTTTACCTTGCACTCAGCAATATTCCAGCTATATGATAGCAGTCTGTAAATAATCGTGGACCGGACAATCCAGTGATCAGCATCAGGAGCATTGATCTTTGCAATTGGGATACAATGACATGTGTGAACCAAGTCAGCTAGTCTGACCACCCCATCCCGTTGGTCGCCTCTTATGACAAGCATGGGTTCCTAAAGATCAATCTAACCTGGAATCCAAATAGGTTTGCTAACTGAAATACTATTCAAAGTGGCATAAGCCCTTGTGAAACCTGTATACTATACATGGGAACACAACATAAGGCCAGAACACTACCATGGCACAGCATTACACCAGATTAACCCCAGCAATCCACCTTTTTACTTGAGTTTTCACACATACTATTTACAGTGACAGTTAAAGCTTTGTACTACAATATGAAATCCTGTCTAATACTTTGTTTAATTAACACCCTATTGTACAACCTAGGGCTGTAAGAGTATGCATGTAGTTTGGTACAGGATTAAGCACAACCCTTGAACTGGTTGCACAGACTTGGACTTCCTTTGTTTGTATTGGGCTGATGATATAAACTGAAACACCTCTGGAAAGCTAATCAGGCATATCTATTACTGAGCATAATGTGTGGACAGATTCTTTGGGCTCGTTTTGTCAAATAATTAAGAATGGATTGACAAAGGTACCTGATCAAGGGTCTGGAAAGTGAAAGTAGTGTCATTGACACCCATGTTGGCATCCATGGTCCCCCAACCACCTGTTCTGGTTGTACAAGTCACCAGATCTCAAGATCTCTAAAAATAAGAAAATATAACAAAACAAAGATTTTTTCCCCGTTCATCTGCCAGGGGCACTTTAGAATCTAGCCTAGATTCCTAAATAATTCCTAGATAGTCGTTTCTTCATCACTTCCTTGTAGTGAAATGTGTAAGTTACAGGAGTGTTATGCTCTGGTGCAGATCGGATTCACTTTAGTGAGTGAGTGAGTGAGGTTTTACACCATTTTTAGCAATATTCCAGCAATATCGTGACGTGAGACATCAGAAATGAACTTTCAAAACTATTTTCATTGGCAGTGCATAATGTATATGATGTACAGCGTTAAGGACGATGATGGCTGCCACGCTAGTGGATCAGTGACACTGTTTATGGGTATTTAGAGTAAGCATAACACAACATAAATATTTCAATAAACATGTGTGTGTTGCTGGAATCCCAGCTATTCCCAGTGTGGAATATTTTATCGTAACCTGTAAACATAGATTAGAAAGTCGACTGTGCGATCTGTCATGTAGGCACTGGCATAACTCAGTTGAATGTTTAACTATGTTGATTTATAATCAATTTCTTTGAACTTGTCTCCCCGACCAGGCCTGGAGATAGCTCACACAAATATGTATGTGTGTAAGCTGCTGATAATATGCCCAGTTATTATCACATTCTATCTAGGGAGATATGTGGTTTTAATTCCCTGCCCATTAATATAAACTGTGATAACTCCCTGATTGTGGCAACCAAGATATATTCAACCTTTTATCATAAGGTCCACATAAAGATTGGGGCAGGGATGGTTTCCAGTACACCATATTTGGCTAGAAAGGAGATTGGATGCCCATGATGGGTTATAACTGCATATATTCCGTAGCAAGCCTACTCTGTCATGTCTAATCTTGTTTACAGGGTTGGATGATAATGAGAGTTGTATGAGTGGGTGTGCTGGGTGTTATATTGCTTTATATCCCAACATGTCACCTAGATGTGAGGGAGTGGGTGTGTAGCCTGCTGGTTAAAGCATAGACTCACCTTGGCTCTCAGCTGAACAGGAGTGGTGGGGTAGCCTAGCTGTGGTTAAAGCGTTCGCTCATCACGCTGAAGACCCAGTTCAATTCCCCACATGGGTACAATGTGTGAAGCCCATTTCTGGTGTCCTCCGCTGTGATATTGCTGGAATATTGCTAATAGCGGCATAAAACCTACTCACTCATCTGAACATATTTTTCAGAAAGACACAGTTCTTAAATTATCTTGAGAAGTATTTTGAAGTCATTGAAACTGATATTTTGAAACTGTCCAGAATATTTCATCCATTAATGGGTCACTGTCTTAGCTTAGTAGTCAAAGCTTACTTGTCATGGTCCAGGTTTGATTCTCAACATGGGTTCAGGTTATGATAACTATTTCTGGTGATTCATTTTGATTTAATACATTAGTGACTAAAAAGCAACTTACAACCATATTTATTACTTGAGTGTAAAAACTAACGTGACACCGGTCATAGATGTCTCAGGTCAGTGAGACTGATGTGAACAGGTTAAGCTGACAGACCAAGGATAATAACTAGGATGAATTAGCTTTTCAAACCAACATACTGCAGATCCTTGCATGGCTAAGGGAGGCAACTCTGTTTGAGTTGCCATGATTCAGGCTGCCGGACCACCCATTTCCCCCTGAATTGTGTATTTGATAGGTAATAGATTCAGGAGATATTTGTGCTGTTAGATGTTTACTTACGGATTTAGACTCCACATTCTCCTGTGCTGAAACAGACCTTACAATCTTGGCAAAAACAAACCGCCTTTTGAAGTCAAATTTCTTGGCGTAATTGTAGGGTCTCGTCTTTTTCGTAGCATTTTTTGATAAACTCGTAAAATGTTTTCCAAGTCAAAAGGCAAGATGAACAAATAGTCATTAGGGGAATTTGCGACAGATTGTGTACGAGAACAGGTCAGACTGCCGTCATTCCAACAGGTGCTCTTTACCTCACCATCTCAGCAATCCCTCCACTCAGACAAAGAGATTTGACTAACTAGAAACTCAAACAGTTGTTGGGTATTCCTATCCCACAGCAGGATGGAATTTTCAAGAAAGACGACAACCAGTACCCAATTGCGGCTATTTATATTTAATCATGACATATTAATTTGTTTCCCTGTGAGTTGGACTTGGTCTTCCTACAACAATGTGGTATCAGTGTTTGCACTGTCACACCGCCCTGCCAGTAGCTAAATAATGTTGCACATTTTCACACTTGCAACTGAATTCAACACAGCTTTGAGAAATATTTGAATTAGATCTGGAGCATGTTGATATTTCACTCTTCACATTCAAGCTAAAGATAATTATCTTCAGATTGGCAGTATTTGTTGAAAAAAGAATAATAAATGCCAAAACAATTGAAGTTTTTTGAAACAAGAAACATTTTACAATTTTATATTTGCGAAATTTAATTAAACATTGGATGTGGTTTTGCTTCAATAATTATCATTTTGAGAGGAAACATGAAAATGGAATGCATCAAAGAGAAAATCGGTCACATTCGTGGGTAATTTAATGAAGCTACGAGAAGTGATTTCTTTTCTATGTACTCTCATTTTCTTTGTTTTTCTGATTAGATTGTCCTTGCTATTGGAACAATCGTAATAAACTAATCACGTTTAAATCACATGTCTCAATCACAGCCATCCAACAGACACAGGCTGATGCATTCTGGGAATTAAGTACCAATTAGGCCATTATCATTGGTTGAGTGATAACCTCACAGAACAATGTCTGACAACATGCATGTGACTGAAATTAATCACGGATCTCTCTCTGCCAGATCGTTGTAACATACTAACAGAAGAGTAGGGATGAGTGATATTGGTTTTGATTTTGTAGTACTTGGAGCAAATACTTTAGA